TAGATAGATAGATAGATAGATAGATAGATAGATAGATAGATAGATAGATAGACACACAGACATAGATAGATAGTCAGTCAGATAGATAGATAGATAGCAGCGGTGGCTGGTCGGGGGAGGCAGGGGAGGCACAGCTTCCCCATAATTTTTAGGTGAAAATGGGAGGAGGACGATTTAATGTTAATAAAATTCACAATTCATTTCAGTTCATGTCTCAGAATGTGTATTGTTTGTAATTTCACAGTTGTAATACCATAACGTGAAAGCGCCGCTTTTCTATCACGAATGTGCCGAATCTGCTGATGTAAATGCAACCGCTAATGATAGAGAAGGGGAGGGGGAGGCCGGGGGAGAGGATAGCTCTCGTGCCTCCGTTGGTAAAAAAAATTAGCCAATCAGCATCGAGTGTTAAGAAAAGAACCCTCGCAAGGGAGGCTAGCCTCCTCCTGATATCAACCAATCATCAGAGACGTAACTTACGTGATATTAGTTTGAACGTCTGCCGCTGCGCTGATAATGTACCAAGTACTTATGATGAGTAGCAATATTGAATATTTGATTGCCAACAGATTTACCAAGCTGTCATTCAAACAGTATATATACACATTTAGGGAAAACGGCTTAAGCTGGATATAGGCTACAGCAGTCGGCTTAATTAAATGGCGCAACGGGCAGCTCTCTTAACACAGACTTTTAAGAAGGGATGGATGTTTGCTTCAAGTGATAGGCCCGGTAAGTGAAATTATGTTATCTTGCTGTAGGCCTATGTACTAGATAGACAGACAGACACACAGACTGATAGATAGACAGACACACAGACTGATAGATAGACAGACAGATAGATAGATAGATAGATAGATAGATAGATAGATAGATAGACAGACACACAGACTGATAGATAGACAGACAGATAGATAGATAGATAGATAGATAGATAGATAGATAGATAGACAGATAGATATATAGATCAGACAGACGGATAGATAGATAGATAGATAGACTGATAGATAGATAGATAGACAGACACACAGACTGATAGATAGACAGACAGATATAGATAGATCAGACAGAGATAGATAGATAGATCAGACAGAGATAGACAGATAGATCAGACAGAGATAGACAGATAGATCAGACAGAGATAGACAGATAGATCAGACAGAGATAGACAGATAGATCAGACAGAGATAGACAGATAGATCAGACAGAGATAGACAGATAGATCAGACAGAGATAGACAGATAGATCAGACAGAGATAGACAGATAGATCAGACAGAGATAGACAGATAGATCAGACAGAGATAGATAGATAGATAGATCAGACAGAGATAGATAGATAGATAGACAGATAGATAGACAGATAGATAGATATATAGACAGAGATAGACAGATAGATCAGACAGAGATAGACAGATAGATCAGACAGAGATAGACAGATAGATCAGACAGAGATAGACAGATAGATCAGACAGAGATAGACAGATAGATCAGACAGAGATAGACAGATAGATCAGACAGAGATAGACAGATAGATCAGACAGAGATAGACAGATAGATCAGACAGAGATAGACCGATAGATCAGACAGACGGATAGATAGATAGATAGACAGACAGATAGATAGACAGACAGATATAACTGAATGCCACTGATCTCTGAGTCAGAATGACCGGCTAAACACCACTGATGGGTAATCCATGAGAAGCTTTCAAGAGATTATGCCATGAGCGATATTATGCAGCTGCTGCTTGTGAAGAGCATCTGAGGACTGTGGCGTCACATCCTGTGTGCAGATCACCATTCATTGCGCTCTTCACGTAAACACTGATGCTCGCTCGGCGTCCGTCGTCTAGCGCCGAGCGAAAGCAGAACGCTAGCGTCCGCGTTATTATTACAGCGCGGGACCACAGCGAAGCATGTAGCGAGGACGCGTCTGTGGCGCCACGTGCTGGTAACTCCGATCGGACTGCGATCTGTTCGCTAATAAAGCGGGACGCGGTCGTGGAATGAGGCCATTGCGCGACATCTCTCCGCGCAGCAGCTGGTGTTTGATGGACGCTCGGCGCAGTGAAGGATGAACAACCGCGAATATCAGCAAATCGATCCGCAGGCGCTCGCGACGCCTCCGCCCGAGCACATGCCCAAACGAGCCCGGAGGAGATGGGAGGTGTTCCCCGGGAAGAACCGCTTCTGCTGTGACGGACGCGTGATGGTGGCGCGTCAGGGCGGCGTGCTGCCGCTCACACTGGCACTCATCCTGATCACCAGCGGACTCTTCTTCGTGTTCGAGTAAGTGCTGAATACACTGCGGCCACTAGCCCATCTAAGCAAGAAGTGCTGTAGTACAGGACAGGAGAGTCACAGGTGCAGCTCAGGTTTCAGGTTAAAAAAAAAATCGTCCTAAATATGTCTGTTTACACCTGCTTCAAAATGCCCTGAATTAGGACGAATGTACATTTAGTCATTTAGCAGATGCTTTTATCCAAAGCGACTTACAGATGAAGTGTCTGTTAATTAAAGCTAGATGTCTGTTAAAGGTCTCTTGATCTGGAAAGCATCTGCTGTGTACAGATGTCTGTAACCCTGATAGCACATCTATTTGACATCTGCATCTGGAAGATGCATCTTTTAGTGTTTGCTCATCTGCATGCATCTATAGGACGCCTCCTTTCAGATGTCAAATAGACGTCCATGAGATGTCTTTAAGACGTTTATAACTTAGAATGTTTGTAAAACTGACATCTGAAAGATGCTTTACACTCCTGCTTCAAAATGCCCTTGAATTGGGACGTGTTTGTTAATTAAAGCTAGATAGATGTCTGTTTTACATGCATTCAAAATCATAAACATCTTAAAGACGTCTGATAGGGAACGTCCAGTAGACGTACTGCAGATGAGCAAATACGTCTTGCAGAGGTCAAATAGACGTCTCCTTGATGCACGTGACAAATTAAAAGTACAGTTCGCTCACTTGTCATAATTAGTTCACCTTCATGTCGTTATAAAATTGCATGACTTTCGTGCGTGGAGGCTAATATAAAGATCTGTCTGTCTGTCCAAACCAGTGCTGGGTAGATTACTTGTAGTCCGTTGTATGGATTACTTGTATTCTGGTACTGATTACAAAGTACATGACAAAAATTGTAAGTGTAATGTAATGCATTTTATCTTTTAGGTAATAAAATCCGACTACTTTTTGATTGCTTTTAAATCACTGGAAAAAAGGTGAAAAAGAAGATCTAATGAATAATGTATTGCTATTTTGTGAAAAGTGAATAATGTTATCATGTAAAGACGAGCGCTTTATGTAATCTAATCTAATTACAAATACTGACTACTGATGTTTAAAGTCTGATTATATGTAATCCAGGTTACATGTAATCAGTTACTGCGCAGTTACTAAGAAATCTTATTTTGTCTTCACAGAAGAAAGAAAAGTAGGGATGCACCGATATGAACATTTTGGCCGATACCGATAACTGATAATTTATTTTTGAAAGCCGATAACCGATATGTTGGCCGATAAATCTATATCCAAATTGTTATATACTTTTTGAGAGCCTGATTACAAGAAAGGTCTCATCATTAAAAGCCACATCCCGAACACTTCAACATAAGCAGCCTAGTTTGAACGGTGTACGTTTTAAAAATATTTTTACTCTCCCATTACCAAATTTAGTCATAAAAAAGTCTTACAAATAAATAAAATAATGCAAACAAGTCACTGGACATCATTACACGTGTAAAGAATCAAAATGAATGCGCCACAGATCAATAAAACGGAATAGCCTCTGCACGGACAATAATTAAATTATTTTAATTACTAAACCATATTGTTGATGAAAATAATAAGAGAAAAATACAAGTGGTTGTTATTAATAATATATCAATGATTTTGAAAAAGTAACAAATTAATACCACTGTTTTAAATAGCAGCCGTTGAGCTGCGCGTGCTGAAGCTGAAGAGCTGAATGAACACGGTAAACTGAAGCGTTTTGCTGGCAGCTTATTTAACTCAAGGAAATGCATCCTGAGATTAATATTAATACAAAATAAACATAATATTACAACTTATATATGTACAAAATGACACAGTTATTGCATGCTATAGTCAGAATGTGTGATCCCGTTGTGGATGCGCTCTTCCCATA